TGTCCTCCCAAGCAAGGACAGAAAGGAGAAGGAAGAAAAGGATCGCGAGGAGATAGTGCAGGACCGTCCAACGAAGTCACCCCCAGCGTCAGTAACAAAGAGCCAAAGCAGATCCCAACCAGGTGAGGAGGTAGAAGGTGCCGAAGAAGGACCACGTTAAATTCTTCCCAAAGTCCTCCGTGGAACAGTCTGAGCAGACTCGAACCAAGAAGTAAGAACCACCGCAGCGCAACGACCACGAAGAAGAGGACAGCGTTTTCAGAGGGCCCACACAACACCCCAGCAAGTCGGGGTACCCCAGGTAGATGAACTGGCCGCCAGGAGAACCAGGTCGCCCGCAATCAGAGTCACGAAGAAGTAGAAGAGGATGAGGTACTGGTCCCAATGGCAATCTCAACCGCAAGGGAGGATGCACCCCCGGAAAATTCGCTCGGGCCAAACAGCTTGAGCCAAGGGTTTAGGGTTTAGGGTTTAGGGTTTAGGTTTTAGGGTTTAGGGCTTACGGCGGTCTCGGATGTACACCAAAGCTTGAGAACAGACTTTCAGAAAATAGGTGGAGTTCAAACAACACCGCAAGAAGCTACACTAAGCGTGCTAACATGTTAGGACAGCAAAGCAAAGCTAAGACATCAACACTAAATCGCTGGCTTGGGCTATGGCATGAGGGTACAGAAACGTGCAGCCATATGGGGGTTTCTTAAAATAGGGGACCCTACTATAGTACCCCAAATAGTAGGATCCAAATTGTAAGGACCCCCAAATAAGGTACCACCTATTTTCGGAAACTTACTATGAGGACCCCAAAATAAGGTACCCTAATAGTCGGAAACCCCCATATGCATTCGAGATACTTGAGTTCCGGCAGGACGCGTCGAACCGCCTCGACACGGAAGGATCGGGCTTCCCTTGTACGGCTAGCCGCTTTCTGTTTAGGGTTTAGGGTTTAGGGTTTAGGGTCTAGGGTTTAGGCTTTAGGATCTACATGGTACACCTTGAAGGAGATCCATAATCAGTAAACCCTAAACCCTAAACCCACACCTAAGGCTACCCCAGCCCTGTCAACAACAACCTCTCGATCCTCAAGACCTGAGGACCCTGATTTCACGGGACGTGGAGAGGGCTTAGGGTTTAGGGTTTAGGGTTTAGGGCTTAGGGTTTAGGGTTTAGGGTTTAGGGCTTAGGGCTTGGAGTTTAGGGTTTAGGATTTAGGGTGTAGGGTGTAGAGTTTAGGGTTTAGGGTTGGTCTACCCAGAAAGTCCAAGAGATGGGCTGCGAATGGTATCCCGCACTTACAGGTATTGGGCCCTCCTTGGCACTGCCATGTAAAACCCTACAATAAGGCCTTAACAATTACCTATATTTTTGGGGGGGTTCTTTTTTTCAAACACAGTATATTGGGCCCCCAAAAACCCTATTCTAATTGTGAAGGCGCCTACATTACAAGCCAAACCACTGCCAACGAAACCTGCAAAACCTTTCGATGCAAAGGGCCTTCCTGAATTATGATTTAGGGGGACCCCCCTAAGGGGGTATGGCAAATGGAGTTTGCTAGCAAGGGTTTTTGCTGATGTTTGGTTTTTTGTCCTCTGTTTACTCCAGCGTGGCCTCACCAGCACTCACTAGCACTCACTAGCGCTCACTAGCGCTCACTAGTGCTCATTGGCGCTCACTAGCG